TATTAATGGAATTATTTTAATAAATTACTATAAATTATCATAATGTATCAACTTAAATTGAAAATACAAGATATGAAGAAATTATTTAAATTATTTTTAATTAAAAAATTAAAAAAAATTCAGTTCAAATCAAACGGAGAAATATTTTCCGATAAAAAATTATTAATAAGATTATACTGTTTCTTGTGAAAATAATATTATTAATTAAAAATTATTATATTTAGTAGAAATAAATATATGTTAAAATAATAAAAAGATATAAGCATCATTTATTTATTAATAAATTGAATTTTTTTAACTTTTTTATGCTAGTAATATATTTTATAAATATAAAATATCTCATATTAATATTAAAATATTTTTATATTTAAGTTACTAATATTAGTAAAATTTTAATACCTTAATAAATTACCAAATATGAATACAATTTTAGTATTTTAAAATTAAATATGTTTTTTCCAAGTTCATTTAGGATAATTTTGAAGAACTACATACACTTTTTTTTTTAGGTTAGAATAATTTTGAAAAACTCAAAATTTGCTTATGTATTTATACATATAGATACATTAAAAACACATTTCAATTTTGAGTTGCTAAACATATTTTTAAATTGATTTATTATTTGAAAAGACAGCAAAATAGACAAATTAAAATAATTGATCAAAACAAGTCTTCTTTGACAAGAAACTTGGACTTGAGTGTCAAAACATGGATTTAAATCTGAATTTGACATATAATTCATCGGACTTTAATTTAAAATAAATATTAAAGTTAAAATAATTTTGAAGTAATTTTAAGATAATTTGAAAGATTGGAACATAAAAAGATTTTAAAAGAAAACGAGAGGGGGTTCTGGAAAGAAAGAGAGATCGTGTGAATTTTAGAGAAAGAAGAAAAAATGTTTTAGAAAGAGAGAGAGAGAGAGAAAAACTTTTAGAGAGAGAAAGAGCGAGAAATATATATAGAGAGAGAAAGAGGTTGTTAGAAAGAGAAAGAGAGAAATATATAGAGAGAGAATAGAGAAGAGAAAGTAAAAAATTTAGAGAGAAAAGAAGAAAGAATATGATATTTTGTTCCAAAAAATTGTATATTCTACATCTATCATTTATAGACATGAATTAGTAGAAGAGCATTTTTATAAACCATTAAAATTCTTGATGATGTTTTTGGATTTGGACATTGAGATTATAAATATTAACAAACTTCTAGTTTTTTTAAGTAATAATAACTAATAATGTTGGATCCCAAATATTCTGATTCATGTTTTTCTAAAATTAAAGTATGTGAAAGTTGGATTTTGACCTCATTACAATGCATTTTGACATAGCTCTTAGCTCAAATTTAAAAAAATAATATGATTTAACTTTACACTTACTTAAATGTAGTAGGTAATAGTGGAGTTCGAAAGGCGGAATTGCCATAATATGTGCCTTCTCTTTTTACAGAAATTTCTCATACGATGCTACAATTTATTTCTTCGTACGAGAATATTTTTATTTAACAACTGCTTTAACAATAACTTTAAGTCTTAAAAGCACAAATTATAGTTCACCCGCATACTCATTACATAATTAATTCTTGAATTTTGTCTTTGTTAAATAGTTAATTGTAGAATTTACAAGCACAGTGAACATATATATATTTGCTTCAAATCTGAATGACTTGAAGTAGAATCTCTGCAACTAACATGAAGGGTAGCAGAGCTTATTTTTTGTAATATTTATAGTGTCATGATTTACTGCATTACAAACAACTTCATTGTGAAGTTCCTCAGATTCTTACCCAACAGTCGAAGGATGATAAAGAGTAGAAATCAAGAGAAGATCATTTTTTCTCCTCACAATCAGGCCAAATTCCTCAGTCATATCTAAATCTTTCTGATTTGTCCCTCCAGAGATTTTCCAATCAAAATGGTACAAGAGTTGTGCCAATGGCAGCATAACATTAGGTCTCGAAAACAAAATTCCCGGACACATCCTCCTTCCGGCACCAAAAGGGATATATTCAAATTCTCTACCTTTGTAATCAATTGAAGTATCTAAGAACCTTTCTGGGGAAAATACTTCAGGATCGCTCCAGAAATTTGGATCTCTTCCGATTGCCCATCCATTAACAATAACTCTAGTCTTGGCAGGTATATCGTATCCGTTGATCACACAATTCTCCATGGATTCTCTTGGAACTAACAGAGGTGCAGGTGGGTGGAGCCGGAGTGTTTCTTTGAAGACTGATTCAAGGAACTTTAATTCATGAAGACCATTTTCATTTACATTTGCTTTCGAGTTAAAAACCTGTCTTACCTCGGTTTGTGCCTTTTTTCATCAATCCTGGGTTTTTCAGCAATTCAGACATTGCCCACTCCAAAACTGTGGATGATGTATCACTCCCAGCAACAAATATGTCCTGAAAACATTTGCAACTTAATAAACTTCAAATTTAATAGGAAATAACGTTTCCAAATAGGGAAACAGAAATCTAAAGCAACAAAAACTTGTTCTGTCCCGGCACTTTCAACTGCCAGTAAAGCTATTATTTTTAACTCTCAATCTACTCTGTTTCCAAGGTGCCGGGACTGGTGCATTTTGTTGATGAATTTTAAGAATTTCTTAATTTTGTCCTAAACGTAGCTTAAATATAAATGATCAAGCAAATTAAGGAAACAGAAATTTGAATAATACAAAATACACAGTTTAAGTCAACATGACCTTTTTAAAAAAAGGAAAATCAACGCTAACCATTTCAAGATTCTATATAAAAATATATTTGTGCGTACATATGTCTGTGTGGGAGGGCCGTATAGGCAACATGCAGGACAATACTAACCATGATAATTGCTTTGATGTTGTCATTAGTTAAGGTAAAGTGGAGGTCATGAGCACCATACTGTTGACGCTTTAAAAGAACATCAATTGGGCATTCCTCTGTTTCTGTTCTGTTTGATCTCCTCTGTTTGCGCTCACTGATTATGTTTTCAAGTATCCTATCAGTCTCTTTATGCAACTTCTCCAGTTTAATCCTCATCCCACTAAGCAATTCCAGCACTTTGCTTGATGGGTACATATCCGAGAGGCAGAATCCCGATGCCAGCTCCAAAATTTTTCTGACAATTGACAAGAACGCTTGTTTGTCCTTGGACTTTCGACCAAAGGCTGCTCGTGATGTTATTCCATATGTCAACGAGAAGATTTTATCAGATAGATTGATGACTGATCCTTCATTTAGAGATATTGTTTTGATGAGATCCACTACCTCTTCTTCTCTGATATATCGAAAAGACTCTACACGTTTAGGACTCAGAAGCTCCATGGTGCAGATTTTACGCATTTGTTTCCAGTAGTCACTATATGGCGCAAAGGCGATGCCTGTGGAATTGTAGGATATGATCCTCGAAACAAGGATAGAAGGCCTCTGAGCGAAAATAGTGTCGTGGGTTTTCATGATTTGTTTGGCAATTTCTGGGGAGGAAACAAAGATGGTGGGAACTTCACCAAGCTGTAGAAACATGAGAGGTCCGTATTTTTTAGCCATTTCTCTTAGGGAGTGATGAGGTAATGGACTGATCATTTGGTGCAGGTTTCCAACTAACGGTAGCTTCCATGGCCCCGGGGGAACATTGGGCGAAGTGCCCTTAACTTTTGAGGTTTTAACAAGTTTCAAAACTTTAATAAGCAGCAGAAGAAAGGCAAAGAGGATTGTGGAGGAAAGAAACTGAAACTCCATTTTTCTTCTGTTTCTCCCACTTATTATTATTATTTTTTTCTTTCCGGCTGAATTAAGTAGGGTTCATGAATATAAAGATGAGGAAAATCTTTCTTACTGTCTCCATGGATGTAACACCCAACATTTATTTTTTTTAATTTAATTTAATTTTTTTATTAATATAATTATTTATTAATTAAATTAAATTAAATTTAATTTAATGAAAATAATAATAATAATAAAAAGGCTGAAAAATTAGTTAAGGATTTAATTGAAAATAATTTTGAAAAAAAGTGGTAAAAATTTAGGTTATAAACGTATTTAAAAAAAAAAAATCGAAAATCAGAGGTCAAAATACAATTTAAAAAAGTTACACCACGTCAGATACCCGGTTAGCAGCCTCGACCAACAAGGACGCGCCAGGTGGCAGAGGCGCTGACACGAGGAGAGTCACGTGGGCGATCCGCATGCACGCGATCGAACGGCTGAGATTCGTTCCCGCGCGTACGGACGTCCCAGATTGAAAACGCGCACGGACGGCCATATTGAATCGCGCACGGACATCCCAAATTGAATCGCGATGAACGGTTCAGATTCACTCCCTATTTAATCGCGATCGGACGGTACAGATTAAAAGTAATGGACGACCCAGATCAAAAGCAGATAGCTATAAATAACCTCATCCGCACCCAAACCCTAACCCTAGCTGCTAGAGCCCCTCGCTGGAGAAGACAACTCAGCTGCCGGGGAGACGACTGCCGCCACCCGCTGCCGCACTGGAGTAATTTTCAACCGCCAAACGAGGTAAAAATTTCTCTTCTTACACGAAATTCAATTTTAAACCCACCCATGACCAAATTGGAGTGAAAGAACCGGACAATTGACCGAAAAACGCTGCCGAAGCTCAGCAGCGCCATCGCGGAGTGTTTCGAAAAATGCTGCTAAAGCTCGGCGACGCCACCACAAGGTGTTTCAAACAATCCCTCCAATGAGACCCTTCTCGATTCCCGTTTGATGTGATTTTTTCACCGTTGTGATCATCGTTTTCTTCTCTACAGGTTGATTGAAGCAAAACACCCAATTGTAACGTGAGCCGGAGGAGCCGCCGCACCGGAGAGCCCACCGCCGGTGAGTTTTGGTTTTCTACATTTTTTCGGCCCACCAAGGGCCCTAAGTGTATTTTTCGTAGGAACCGATGCAAGTTTGGCTGAATTCGGCCGAAAATGACCGAAAACAGCCAACTCGAGGCGAGTCGACGTCGCACGCGAGGGCACTGTCGCCAGAGCACGGCAGAGCCGCCATGTCGGATTTTTGAAATTGGCCGAGTAGGCCTTGAGACTGATTTTTGAGTTTATATGGGACACTTATAGGTACCGTAAGCGCGTTCCAGTTCCAAAAAAAAAAATTCAGAGAATTTAGGAACCGCATGTAGGCACAGTAACTATTTAGTTTTCGGTGTCGAATCAAGTAAGAACCCCTCACTCTATTTCCTATCATAGATGTGAAGTTTGAATAAATAATAATACGATCTTTTATACAAGTTAGATAAATATGCATAATTAATTACGGATTGCTACTGTAGCCCGAAATCAGACATTGTTCTCTGTTGATTCTTATTTATTTATTTTACAGTTTAAAGGCATGATGGTATCTGGTTTAGGGTTTTAAATGCATGTATTACTGTCTTACTTGACAATTGTATGATTTTGGGATTTAAGATATGATTGTGTTACCGGGTGCATGTTTCTTGTTTATGTGATTGTGTTTAATTTGGTAACGGAGATTAAGGAGAAACAGAAAAGGGATGTGATCTAATAAACATATAAAATGACAGCCTCACTAGATGTCCTAAGAGATGGTGGACGGATTAAGTTTATAGGGAACCCTACCGTGAACGTTGTCTTATACCGGACTGGGTATGGAGACTTAATCATTTGGCGCTCATACCGGATGGGGTATGTGGACGGTCCTGAAATTAAGATTGTTAAGAAAAATGGTTCACGTGTAGCGGAGACACCCCTATGGATCTCCATGGATACTAGTAGACTGGTGAAACGAGAAACGGTCATAATTAGTTATTGTTAATGAATATGAATTTATGATATGTTCTATGTTACTGATTGTGCATGAAGTTATGATATGTATGATGTTATTGTTTTTATATATTGTTTTCATATATTCTCCAATGGTAAGTAAAAAAGTAAATGGTTTTACGTTTAATGAATGTATTGGTTTAAATTTAGTGCTCAATTAGTTGTTTTTGGTTTTTTATCAACATTTGCTTTTGTGCCGGCGATATAGTGTGATGTGCTTACTGGGATAGTGTAACTCACCATTTATTTAATCATTTCAGATCAGGAGGATCTGGTTCTCGAGCCCGATCCGTAAGAAAGTTGCGAGTAGATGCTAAATACTTTATAGTTTTATTTATTTTTTCCATTTCTCGTATTTTTTTCAGAAAATATATTCCATGATGTTTGTTTAATACTTTTAAATTATCGTATAAAGGATGTTAACCTTAATTTTTATTTCGCTTCCGTACTCAAATTATTATATACATTTTCTTTTAAATTTCAGGGGTCATTACAATGGAGACAAGTCTTGCTGATTGCATAAGAAGAGAACAAAAGACATGAAGAAATAGTTATTGGACTCTTTGGCATTTTGTTTGTTGCATGTGGTGTGTGGCATTACATAAAATAGATACTCCATTGATGACACAACTTTACAATCAGAACTTGTGGTTATCCTAATTCTTTTGGCTGGAGAAATTTCTACTCGCCGTAATCAATCAACCAAGCTATTTGTTGCTTCTGCCTGCCACGAAACAAGAATTTATATATCTTGACGATACATTACGTATTCTGAATGGCATCGGTTTTTTCTATCCATAAAATTACATTCATAAAATGTGTCTGCTGAAAAATTCGTGCTAATGTGATCTTAGATCACGAAAGAATTTAATTTTAATTTGTAAGATTGATGATAAATGAAGGATTTGTCTTATAATAATTTGAATAGTCTAATCTTGTGTTGAAAATATACACGATTATTAAATTTTTTACAAAAATTTAAACGATATTAGTATATCGATTATTTGATTTTGAACTTTTAAAAAATGATTATTTGGATTCAAAAGTTATTAAGCTGATAGTATTTAGGCTTGAGCTTGGGATATCACAATCTTGCTCGGAAGTTCCTTATAAGTACAAATATATATTTTTTAAAATATAATAAAACTATTACAAGAAATCTCTGAAGATTGAACTGCAGCCATTCCCTTGTTATCAACTGCGTTGCTAGCAAACAAGCCTCTATGACCCTCTTGTCAGTTCCGTTCCGAGAGTCAAAAGCGTTAAGCTGGAATATCTATATCTATATATATATATAAATAAAATACTGTAATTTGCCTAACAAATATAATCTAGATATTTATTTATTTATTTTTTGTGTTCATACAATTTGAATCAGACATTGATTACTTCAACTACATCAATGCAGAAAGTAGGTAGCTGCAAGAAATTACTTTCAACTAAATCAATGCAGAAAGTAGGTAGCTGCAAGCAACTTAATGCCTTTTTATTTATTACTGAATAATCTTGTATGGCTTCTACACAATTTCTAAATTGTACTTAGAAAATAAGCAGTGCGAACTACAGAGTCTGCAAATATTTGGTATACAAGAAAACCATATTAATTTTAATAGATTGTGATGCTCTTATTTGATAGATAAAGGATGATAGCTGATGGGAATGAGGACAAGATCATATTTCCTTCTCACAGTCACGGCAAAGGCCTCAGTCATGTCTAAATCTTCATAATTCATTCCTCCAGGGAGCTTCCAATCGAAATAATACAACAGTTGTGCCAACGGCGATATAATATTAGGTATTGCAAATGAGATGCCCGGACATATTCTCCTTCCTGCACCAAACGGGATGTATTCAAAATCCTTTCCCTTATAATCAATTCGACTATCAAGAAACCTTTCTGGGTCAAATATTTCAGGCTCACTCCAATACTTTGGATCTCTGCCTATTGCCCACCCGTTAACAATGACTTTGGTATTGGCAGGTATTTCATACCCCTTGATCACGCAGTCCTCAGAAGATTCTCTTGGAACTAACAGAGGTGCAGAAGGGTGTAGCCTGAGTGTTTCTTTCACTACTGATTCAATAAACTTTAGCTCATGAAGTTCTGTTTCGTCCACGTATCCTTTCGCATCAAAGACCTGCCTGACCTCGGTTTGTGCCTTTTTCATCAACCGTGGATTTTTCAGTAGTTCAGACATTGCCCACTCCACAGTTGTCGAGGATGTTTCACTCCCAGCACCAAAGATGTCCTGAAGCAGAAACGAGAAATGTAATTTCAGTCTGAGACTCTTGATAGAACCAAGACATAAACTTCGTCAAATAATTCTCAGCATAGTTCCATACACGTGATTGTTTCATTAAATTTTTTTGTCAAATAATAATGTACTAAAAAATTTTAAATGAAACAATCACGTTATGAAAATTACCTTCTTCCACATTCTGTTTTTTGCAAAATTAACCATCCATTCTAATTATTATGTATTTAACTAAATATGTATATGTTGGGTACTAACCAAGATAACTGCTTTGATGTTATTGTCAGTCAAGGGAAGATCACCATCTCGCTGAAAGTTTAAGAGAACATCAACAAGATCTTCTTGCTCTGGACTCGTTGCTCCAGTCCTCTTTAGTCTCTTTTGTTTGTGGTCATTGAGGATGTCTCCAAGAATCCTATCACTCTCTTTATGCAGCTTCTCAAGCGTAAACCTCAATCCACTCGCCAGCTCAAGCACTTTACATGAAGGGTACATATCGGCAAGACAGAAGCCTGATGCTAGCGCCACTCCTTTCTTGACGATGGAAACAAGTGCCTCTTGGTCCTTCCATTTACCACCAAAGGCTGCTCGCGATGTTATGCCGTATGTCAACGAAAAAACCTTTTCACTGAGGTTGATAGGCAAACCTTCGCTCAAAGAGATAGTTTTGATTAGACGCGCCACCTCTTCTTCCCTGATCAACCTAAAAGATTGGACACGTTTCGGGCACAAAAGTTCAATGTTGCAGATTCTTCGCAGTTTTTTCCAATAGTCACCGTATGGGGAAAATATTATGTCTGTAGAATTGTACGCCAGTATGTCAGAAGCAACAAGACGGGGTCTATTGGAAAATACGATGTCATGGTTTTTCAAGACCTCTTCTGCGATTTCTGGAGAAGAAATAACAACGGTTGAGACTTGGCCGAGCTGCACGTGCATCAAGGGTCCATATTTCTTGGCCAAGTTTCTCAGAGAGCGGTGGGGTAGTGAGCAGATCAACTGGTGTATGTTGCCTATCAAAGGCAGCTTCCATGGCCCTGGAGGTAGTTTTGCAGCTCTTTTGTTTTTGGCTTTTGTATTCTTAACAATTTTCAGAGTCAGAAGCAAGAAAAGAAAGGTAAAAAAACTGGTGGAAAAGAAAGATTCAAAGTCCATGCAGATTAATATTTCTTTACCGTTATAATATGTTTCAGCACCCGTCTATCGGCAGATTTAAATAGTCCTTGAGAAGTTTCAGCAGATATGTTTTCTTAACCCTTGACTCTTCTGTCCTCGTTATACTTTGTAACTATGCTTTCCCCTCTTAGATTTGATGAACTATTTTAAATAATTCATTGAAATAATAATTTTAAAAACTGAACTGAAGAAGTATGATACAATCAATTATTGATATTTTAACATGTTTTCTCATACTTAAACTATCTAATCATCTTCAAAATTTAACACGATAGGAAAGAAATTTAATTCTGTTTAAATCAGTAGAAACTTCATTTATATATATATATATGTATATATATAAAGAGAGAGAGAGAGAGAGAGAGAGACACACACACACGTATACAGATATATCTAACTTATTAGGTAGTACGTAATCTCACATTTGATCCCTTGTTGTCTTTTACTGGAATTCTTAGATGCATGATTATTAATATCGAACTGTATTAGGCAAGATTGTTGATTTTCCTAAAATGGTAATGTAAGTCATATACCACTACAACTGGGTTACGTCGACCTCTTAATTGGATTTTGATTGATTTAAGTATCTATTTTGTACACGGCAGATTTGTAATAGATAAACATTTCTTTTAAGTTCCATTAAAAGACTCCATTTTTTAAATATATGTTAATTAATTTTATTATAAATTTTATATAGTAGAATATAATTTATAGTTCTATATATGTATATTTTATTTGCCGAAGTTGTTCAATCTAATTCAAACCTCCATATGCCATTTGTTCAGACAGCATCCAAAATTTTCTCATTTATGTGTATTTAGTTGCAGGTGTCTTCCTAATTTATCAGCCACAAGTTCCTACAAATTGGCACCTTTTTCCACTGTCTACATATTTGTCGGATATGCTACTTATTGCAAGAGATGCCGAGACCAAGAAGATATTATCTCCACGTCAATTATATATCAAGAAGACCTTTTTTTTCACCTCGAATCAAACTTAT